CCAAGTTCAACAAACATGGAACAGAATCTTTTTGAAGCAGGTCGAGACAAAACTCAGAGCGAGTTCCTGTGTCTCCCTACACACCCACGGCTCCGACTCACACGCCTTTTCATCCCCTCAGGTGCCGTCTGGGCCTCTTTTGCAACTGACCCATTTTAACGCCCCTTTCATCGCTTCGTTGTAGAAGAACAATGAAGCACAAGCATCATTGTGCACTTTTCCTTTCTGAGCACTCCGAACACAACTTTGATGAGACAGTTTCTTAGAAACTGACCATTGTGTCCAGCCTTTTTTGCAGAATTCTGGTTTAAACAGGGATCGGTCAAGCTAATACTGGATCCTACCTGCATCTTGGCAAGTAGATGATGGAAGAAACATGAAATAAACTATTGTTTTCAATCTTTATGAAAACAAGGGGCAGAAGTTTGCTGCACTTTAAAAATGATGCAACTTTTTAACTTAGTAAATCCGGTCAACTTTACCATTTGGAATAAGCGAATATGAATATAAAATATGAATTTTGAAAAAGAAAAAATAGAATATTTAAAATATGAATTATTATTATTATTATTATTATTATTATGGGCAGCAGTATTTTACTCATTAAAGATTTGAATTACTAAACAATCATTTTGAATGAGTTAATCCATTACTGTGTTTCTGTCCAGTAAGTAGTAATACTGCCTTTAAAAGTAGCCGACTCTGAGGTCACTTCACTTGCTTTCAGGTCTTGGAAGCACGTGACACAGAAACAGCACCACAGTTGTTTATCTTTTATTTCATTTCATCCTTTACATCAAAGAAACTTCACAATATTCTGGACAGCGTGAAGGAGCAGTTGTAATGTAGATGTCCGGCCTGTGTTTGTATAGATGCTCTTCCCCACTGACACAGCCAGAAAAGAGCACACCCGATAGGCCCGGTGCAGCTGGCCCGGGCCTGACCGGCACCTGCTACAACACTGCATGCTGAGAACGGGCCTCCGGAAACCTCCGGAAAAATCCAGAAACCTCCGGAAGCGCCTGCTCGTCCAGTGCAGACCCCCAACAGCAAAAACAAACACTTCAGTTCATACAGAAATATTTACTATATTACATACAGTGTTCTGAAAAAAACCCACCAAACTGGTTAATAAAGTACAGTTTCATACCAAATACAGAATCCAAGATCATTCAGCAGAGATTGTGCGTGATTAGGCTATATTAACACAGGCAGTACTGGCAGATACTTCAGACTTTTGCATATGAAAATGATCTCTGGATATGGTTTTGGTTAACTATGTAAAACTGTAAAATTAGGCAGGAGAGTTTATTTACATTCAAATCTCAAAGGTGTGAAATGACTGATATCAAAAAAAGAATGAAGGAGAGTGAACCCAAAAAAGTGTCCCAAAGTGCAAACCAGCAAACCTGACACTGCTGACCATCTACAGGAAATCCTACCACTTCAGTCTGCACTACAAAAACAAGGAGCTGAGTAGTTCTGATTTGAAGTGAATGTAAAATCATTTCCTGTAAAAATCAGACACTGAGCGTAAATTATACACGACTCCCACGAGATGAAGAACGGGAACCAAGATGTTGGTCGTAACATAAAGCTGATCCTCAGACATTGAATCAGTAGTGTAGTGTGAATCACTCTGAGAAACCAAAATAATGTCAGGAGTTTCTTTAGCTTGACTTAGGAAGCTTGAGGACTGTGTCACCAAAATATCAAATTTCCCCCTTCACTCTAAATGCAGTCAATTGATCAAGACATGTTTGGTGTTTGACATCTGCTTCTTTTAAAGTTATATATAATCATTTAAAGTTATATATAAGGCATATAAGGGTTTATTACCATGTTCCACTTTTAGTATTACACTATAGACATCAAAACCTATGAAATGAATGTATGAAATTACAGAGACAAAAAAGTCTTAATGCAATTTTACACACTCCCTGCATCCTCTCAAGCACCCGAGACACTTTTCTATCAAGAATGAAGAAGATAAATATATACATTGTGATATTGTTGCTAAAAAACACTTTTGGGGGGCATTAAAATAATAATAATAACATTTATTGTTGAATAAAAGAATAAATATATATATATATATATATATCTCGCTGCTGTTGGAACAAAACCTTGTATCTTCAAAATGGTAACTTTACAGGAGAAGGAAAAAAACGACTTTACTTTTAATGTAAGTCAATGGAACTAACTTATTATCTTATAATTATCTCAGTATTTATATATATAGTAATTTTTCCACTTATGACATTTTTTGAGGTTTCATGTACCAGAAATGGTCATAACTCATTCTTACGTGACCATTTTCCAACCTTACTTTACCTTTTGCAATTCAACAGGCTGTTTTTTATACTGTACTACACCTCCTTCAAAAAGCACTGCAGAGCTGAACTCCTTATCAGTGTGAAGGGGCGGGGCTAAACTTGCTGAATATGCCGATATATGTAAATATACTGGTTTTCGTGACATCTGAAAGATACCAAATTCAAAACTGGCTGTTTTTGCAGCGTATGTTCCATGTATGGAGTGTATAGTTTGGAGAAAGAACAATACATTTAGAAATCTCAACAATATTTACATTCTACATCAACATTTTCTGCTTTCTATGATTTGTGCCCTTTAAATACTTTCATGCTAAAACTGAAGAAGTACTTCAGACACCAAACGTCTTGTCTGACTGACATTTGGAAAATCGTGTGTATTAGATTTCTTAAGAAAAAAAATAAAAACTCTCCCCAGCCTGCTGAGGGTCTCTCCATCTTACTGGAGACAGAGAGTGACCAGCCATTTGGGGCAGGTGGGGCGGAGCCTCGGAGGTCCCACTCTCACTTGGCACCCCGTGTTTAGAGAGCGATAATCCAGCTTTCCAGTCTGGTTAGAACTGCTCCGTCTCAGCGGCTGATGGACCAGGTGGCCCTTTCACGCTGGAGGCCACCGCGGGGGGCGAGTGTGTACAGAAACGGCCGCCCGGCCACAAAGAGGACAGCGTCCGGCTGCTGCTTCTGAAAAGATGGGCGCCAAACCCCAGGGGCCTGCGCTCACAAAGAACACTCGGAGCCAGAAAGCTGATCGCGGAGCAGCGCCTCCGGCCTGGTTTTAGAACCGAAGGTCATAAAAACTGGCTGGGGATCAGCGTTTTTACTCTGGGGGAGATCCTTTGTTCCAGACTGTGGCCTCTCGAGCAGCGAAAGGCCCCTAAAATATACACCGACCTCACATTCCAACTGTCCTCTCAAACGTATTCATCTCCCAGCAAGCGTCCCTGCCTACTTCCCTCAAAACACAGCGCATTTCCCACAATTCTCACACTGCTTTTGTAGTCCCTTTCTTTCAAACACACAACACTAATACTACCAAATCACTATGATGATATTACACTACCACAAACCATAAACCGTGTCAGATTTTAAAGGAAAAGTTCACAAAAAAATAAAATTTACATTATTTTCTGCTTTACCTCACATAGTAGATCAGCCAAGACATGTTTGATTTGCTTTAGGTTAGAACTAAAAGGCTAATGTAGCTAAACAGTAATGGTGTTCAATAAGCCAATCTTAGACTATTATATGAGCGTCTAGCGTGAATCTAAAGAGGCAAACATGCCTCAGCTGATCATGTGCATGCAGGGCAAACTGAGTCAATCTGATTTCTTGCTGAACCGCTCCTTTAAGAACAGCTGTAGAGCTCTAACCAACTTTGTTATTCGTTTTTGCACCAGTAATAATAAACGCAGCACTTCAGTCTCAAAAACAGCTGCCGTTGTGCTTCCACTGTAATCCCAAACAGTAATACTGTGGGCTCTGGCGCCCTCTACTGCTGGATTTTAAGTGGAGGTCCCATGCCAACCTGTGCTTTATGGAAGATACCGCGCCACTGTTAAACACTACAGCTTATGTTTATGTTAAGGTGAATGGTCACTTGTTGTAAAGTCATATAAAAGGTAATGCACAGATGAAGGAGTTACAGACAGCGAAGGCACTGTGGAACCAGACTGCCCTGCATAATAATCTCTACCAGCAGCTGGTCAATGTGCGTATGAAGCTTGAAGATCACTAGCTTCTTATAGTAAAAATAAAGTGTTAATACTTTACCACGTGCCCACGAGGCTACTGATGCAGCTGCAAAGACAAATATTTAATATAAATACTGTATATGCTATCTATTTCGTAGAGGCAGGGAGTAGACAAAATAGTGGAAGTGCCAGAAAAGCACATCAATAATAACGACCTGGACTGTAAAGCAGCTTCATCCCTCCTGGAATGCAGTTAGACGTGTTCTGTAATAGCCTAACTGGAGAAGTTCGCATGCAATCTAGACTGGAACTGGAGTCACAGAGGTTTAAACTGTTCCATAGTCACAATGTTTACACGACTAGTGAAAAAATCTTCTGATACTGTGACAGACGTCGCTCCACTCAGGCCGAGCAACTACTGAATGATGTCTTCGTTTAGTACAGACAGTCTAAAACAGTTTAAAAGTCTTTTCAACAAATATTAGTGTACTTTTAGTGGTACTTAAAACATGTGCTAGCATTGAAAAATGTAAGCACGGTTTGTTTTTGTCAGTTCTATACATTTCTCTTTTCTTTATCTGGTGTTTCCAGTAATTTGTCTACTCCCAGGATCTGCATTTTGTTTTTTTAAACTTCTATTATGAAGCTCAGCTGTGTGCTTAAGCATTTCTGATGTAATTGCAGTTCTATAGAACCTAACTGGTCTTAAAGGTAAGCCGTTAAAGTAACTGCGTAGTCTAAAGTTCAAAATGAATTGTGTAGGACAGTAAACATTGGGTATAGTGTCAATGGAGGAATGAGCATGTTCCCCATTTGACCACAAGAGGGAGCCTTTCGCCAAGTCTGCAACAGACTCTAATCTACTGCAAGTAGAACCCTTTGTGCTTTCTGAATGAACTCTAACTATATTCTATACTATCCTACATTTCCTAGAAGACATACAACATTGAGAACGGACTTCAGAAACAGATTCAGAGCCTCCGCCAAAAAATGCAATTTTACAAAGAAGGTCAACAACTAACAGAAACCGCAAATGCTGATACGAAGTGGTGCAAAGTGTATGACTAACTAACCTCTAGCTTTATGTTCCCTTTACTGCAAACCTATACGACCATATCAGGTCTGAAGAGATGGTTTGTCTGAACAGTTGAGGTTCTCTGAAAAACGTTGCCAGGC